TCCTTTCCCTGTCCACGCTATCATGGCAGTTGTATATTACTGTTACTCTGTAACTCTCAGACCAATACCAGAGCTATTACTGAAAATACTTGTAGTTTTAATGTTTGTTAATCTTGTTTGTTACATTTACCACAAATTTGACTGATTTCAGGACAAACCATGTTTTAATCTCAGGTTGAATTTTTTATTTTTGTTCAGAGAAATGGACAGTGATAAATAATAACATCAGTATAGAGGCTTTTGTTTCTGTGCAGGACAATGTGAGTAAGATGGTTTTGTTTTGGCCTTTAATACTAAGGATTTGGGTGCTTTAGACAAAAATAACTTACACAGAAACAAACAGCACTTCCTGCTCTGCATATGATTTTTAAAACTGTCAAACCCTGGAGATACAACACACACATCTTGGGCACCAGTGTGCTTTCTGTCTTCACACAATTTTTCTGTTGCATTTACACTTCCTTGCAATACAGCAAACACCCTGCATGCAACGAAGACATTCATTTCCATAAATCTACTATGTTGCCCTAAAGACCTTTTAAAAAATGTTTCAACATTATCCTGTAATAGTGATACAAGAATTCCCACATTCAGGAAAAAAACACTGTTATAATGCTGTTAAAAAGTAATGGCAGGATCAAATCACTGTTTCTCAGGGAGGGCATTTACAAATAACATGAAGAGGTGTGTAGTCACACGTGTGTGTATCCATAAAAATAAAAACTGCATATATACAGTTCACATACTTGGCTTCTGCTCACTGATGAAGAAAATACTGTGAGTCAGGAGCTCACTTCCCACCTGCCTTAAGGACTTTCGAGCTCAGCTGAGGAGTCTCCCGCACGGACGGAGGAATCCCATCAATGATTAGACCGTGTGGGATGTCCAGGATAAATGCCACTCACTGATCACAGCTGAGAAGGGAGACGTGCATTCTGCCAGGAGTTCTCTTTGGAACTCTTCAGGCATTAAACCTTTCCCTAAGACATCCAGTGTTTTTACTTCAAAGCAAAGAGATCAAACTGCTCCCCGTGTGCCAATCAAGGGAAAGAAATTCTAACAAAACTAGCAAAAATGTACAACAAAAGCCTAGATGATTTCCAGAGCAGACCTGTGACAAACTGAAACCACCATGTTATTTCTTACATGTGAATGTCAGTGAAAATAGGAACAGCAAAGCCAAATTGCAGATTAGAGTATCAAATTCCATTTGGTTTGTTTTTTGTTTGTTTGGGTTTGGTTTTTTTTAAATTATTTTAAGAGGTGCAGGTGGGGTGTATTTAACATATACTGAATAATTTTTGGCTTGTGGTTATGCAAGTCTTTTGAGACTTTCTATATAATAAAGTACTCTGACTAAAATCTGGAAAATTACCTCTTAAGGCTCTAGCTGTACAGCATCAATAGAACTGTGGTGCCAGCTAATGGCTGCAATAACTGTCTTCATCCCTAGAGAATAATGGATGGAGAATATATCAATATGAGGAGTGGAAGGGCCAGAGAAACTGAGCAGGCACTAGTTATCGGACACAAAGATGATGCCACATGCATGATGTTATCTGTGATAATCTTTACTTAGGGCCCAGGGGGTGGGAAAGATATTCTTTACAGAGAAGAAAGAATCCATCAGGCCATATTCATAATCATCAATGTTCCACTCAGTAAGCATTTCTGGAGAAGGGTTGAGGGAGCACTGATGTAACAGAAATCAATGAAATTCAGCTTTTCTGCATCTATTGTTTAGAGCAAAGTGGAGGGAAAAAACCCTGTGCATCACTTTCATTTCTGAACGTTCAGCCCTATGCCGTAATCAGAAAAAGGCTCTGAAGGAAATCTGACATGAACCACAATAAAACTCTTAACTATTTAAAAACCTATTTAAAATCCACACCTTGACATTCACAACGGCCACAGGAAACACATTCTTCTTACAAGCATCGAATTATTTACTCCTTTTTTTATTTATTTTGGCCACATAAGCACTTAAAACAGTGCAGGACGTGAAATTACTGTTTGGCTTCATGCTCCCCTTGATGCAAATCCTGTGGCACACCGGAGCTGGCTCCGAGCACAAGGCCAGCAGAGAACAGAGTGCTCAGTGAAAGCTGCTGCCACGAGTTCTCTGCAGACCGATGCTACGACTTAACTTAGCACATATTTAAAAATAAGAATACCACACAGGGTAGATTACAGGATAGCTTGGTAATTTTTCTGCAATATCCACAGTATCTTTTCCCTTGAAGTTTAAGCACCTGTCTTAAATACACACACCAAGACCAGAGCACCTGTAACACTGAGGTTTTGTTACAAAGGGGACAAACAGAATGTGCTGGCTCTCTGCCACTTCAGTCAAATTGGCACATTTCCACCTAATCACAGGTAGGAAAAAAAAAAGATAGATGGCAAATTTGGTCAAGAAAAATCAGGAAATGCAGGAGTTAAACATTCCAACAGCAGCATGAACTTGACCATGTTCTACATTCTGCATATTTTATGGTATATTTATTACAACAATATATTCAACCACAAAAACAAAAACAGAAAGACAAACATTACTCATGTGCAACACAGCTGCATTAGCATTTCTGAGGAGCATCAGACTTCAGAATTCCTGACACTGTGTTTAATCCTACATTCTGCATTTAATTTCTACGTATGAATAGTCAGCAAAATGGACGAGACCTTCTGCTTAATTATGTTTGATTTTAGCTGTCTCAACAAGGTTCTACGGCTCCTGTGCCACTTAGCTGGTACAGATGGAAGATGGGACTTTGACATCAGCACCAAATCGTGAAAAAAAAGATTTTCCTTCCTACACAGTTGTTTATACAGTAACAGAAATGTCTTCAAAGAGCTAGGGATTCTCATTTACTATTTTTGACCTCTTATGCCATTGTTTCTGACCAAAAGCCATCAGCTAACAACTGAGAATCTTAAAAATTCTCCAGGCAGTGAGTGACATTTGTACTGGCCCCATCCAGCTGATGAGATGATGATCCAGGTGGGATGCTGTCTGTCTGTCCTGCAGAGCAGTGATGCTCCAATGATGAAAACAAAGAAGCCCACAAGACGTTTTGCTGAGCTTCCTTCTCAGGGATTTCTACTTTTCCAATTTCAACTGACACTGCCCTCTCCTAAATTAAAGAAAACAAAAACAAAAACAAAAAACAAAAAAAAACAAAAAAAAAAAAAAAAACAACAACAAAAAAAAAATTTTTTTTTGCAACACGCCCCCCTTAAAAAAAAAAAAAAAAAAAAAAAAAAAAAAAAAAAAAAAAAAAAAAAAAAAAAAAAAGGCACAGCCAAAGAGCCCTGTTGCTGGCCAGTTGGCTCACTGTCAAAAATCTATGCTGCTAACTAGGTAGCTCATTTACATCACATTTCAAAGACAGAGTAACTTAAGCCTTTAAAGATACACTCTTAGGTGAAAGATATTTCAGCACATATGAAATCTGAAAGCTTAGACAAAAGCTTTACTGCAGCCTTCAACATGCCAGAGCATAACACCCGCTTGAAAGCATAAGCTATTAAATGAAACAACTAAGATTCAAAATCCTGAGGACAACTATTCACCAGCACAGGTCCAAGAAACCCACTCATCTAGGGAAAAAACCCACACGACTTTGTGCCTAGTCACCCCCATCACTGGCCACAGGCAAGTTGGGGTGGAGACAGGGGAAGGGGCTGTGGTGGTGGCAGCAGATCCAGTTGTTTGTTGGGTGCTGCAGGTTTCTGAAACGCTGGGAACAAGATGAGGTGTGTCTTTAACTCAGCTTTGCAAGCCCAGAACTAGAACAAAGCTTGAGAACATGTTGAGTTTCTCATATTAAAAAACACAGCACAGCTGGAGAAATACACTGTGAACAGTGACATCTCAGGAGTTTGGATTTTCAAATAATTTGGTAAATATCTCCAAAATCTTTGTTTTACCCTCCTTAAATTCCATTGCTGTTCCTAAAAGATGTATGGCAAAATAAATTTTATGTTTAGGAACAGGATACCTCAGTTCCTCAAAATACAGCTCAGCAGCTTAATTTTTTAAAACAAACTGCAGCAACTTTTTAAAAAAAGAACAATACCTGTAATTAGGAGAGCAGAAAGAATTGTCAAAATACACACTTGATAGAGTTTTTTTACTTTTGATTTGAAATAAAGAAAGGCTTTGCTCTAGTTCTCTTTGGTGACATAAAAACGAGTGAAGAATAGGAGGACACAAACAAGTCCTTCCCATTTGGCTCTCTTAGCTGGATCCCAGCAGATTCCAAGTTTCTTACATTCATGTATAGGAAGAAACTGACACCTATTGGCAACTTGAATATTACTGCATAGAGCTGCTTTTCTTTTTTTTCTTACAAGAAACAGCTTCTCCTAACTAGATTTTTCTTGGAATACACAGATAATACAAGTATATGACTGAAAACACACCTAGAAAACTTCAGGCTCTCCTTTTGAACAATAAAACTCTGACCTTTCCAAAGTAAGATACACGTAAAAGCGCCTGCAGGCAAATAACCTGCCTATAGTTTTTCTACTACAACACTTTACTGACTTGCCTTGAGCTCTGGGGCCTGCTGAAGTAACAACTGAAAACAAAACAATGTTCCTGGGCCTAAGTAATGAGAAAAAATGAAAAGCAGACAAACCATTGTCACCGTGTTTGTAAACTGCTGCTGATGCATACAACCTGAAACTCAAAACCTGAGTGGTTTGCATGTATTTGTGCTAAATGGACATCAGAATTTTTCAGCTACCTATGGGTGTTGGTGGAGGTGCTCTTCACAGCAGTGAGAAATTAGTTCCAGTAATAATAAATATGCAAAAGCGACAAAGATTCAGAGTCACATTTGGGGTCTTTGAAGCAACAGATCGCCTGAAACTGCAAACAAAGTCAAGGAGACCTGTTCTGAGTATCTAAAACTGAAGCCAAACAAAAAAAAAAGATCTGTTTTATCTCACTCCACCACTAGAGCAAAAAGACTGAACCCAATTATTATACATACTTGTAACGAAGAATTTTTTCGTGAAAGTACAGCTGTCAAAGGCAGCAATTTTCTCTTGCAGGACTACAACAAGTATCCTGAAAACACAGAAATGGAACATGTACTTTAAACATTAAATGCAATGGTTTAAAGATTCAATATCTAAATGTAATTATTTCAAAAGCATCAATATAAATTCTAGAGTGACAAACTGCCAGGTTACCAATACATGGCAGTTATTGAGGATTCTCTCTCATCCCAACCACATAACCTTCACTTCAGGAAGTACACAGATCTGATACAGAACAACACAGCATATTTATGATATAGCTCCTGCAGTAAAAGCTCCATTAAAAACAAAGAATGGGATTGCAACGGTGCTGAATTACTTTCGGTGACTCAAATAACAATCAAATCAACAATTGGTAGAATAGAAGCTAAATTTGAATTAATCCCATTGCCCATCTCATTGCAAATTTATTAAACCACCTTATTTGAATAAACACAGGGTATTTTTTTTTTCATACCAAGAACATCAGCACCCAAATACAGTTGAGAGAAGCAGAATTTGTGTAAACTAGCAAAATCACAGGTGCATGTTTATGCAGTCTCATGTATATATACATATACATACTTTTATTGCAAAATATCAGTTCACCACCTTATTTGAATAAACACAGGGAATTTTTTTTTTCATACCAAGAACATCAGCACCCAAATACAGTTGAGAGAAGCAGAATTTGTGTAAACTAGGAAAATCACAGGTGCATGTTTATGCAGTCTCTTGTACATATACATACTTTTATTGCAAATTATCAGTTCATTACTTGAAGCAAAGAACAGCCACAGGATAGCTATGCATTAACACCACACCATTTAAATGAACAGAGGCCAAAGATGTAAATCTGGAAAGTGAAGCATTTTGAAAGTTTTATAACGAGGATACATCTTGTCCTACATTGATGACTTCCCATAAGCAAGTTCTTAAACTCTTGACATGAAAGAATCACTTAGGAAGCCAACAAATAAACAGATAAAATCTACCAGCTATCTGGAACATTTAGCAGTATGACATAATTAATTAGGAATCTAATTGTTCTCTCATTAGGAAGACAATGAGACAGTATTTTTTTTTAATTAGCTGACAATATGGAGCATTATTAAATGGTGTTCTAATAGCTTTAACTGAAAAAAGATATGATGTGGCAAAAAACTGTGTCTCCTAATGACTAAAATGCTCACCTAATGGTTTATCTGAAAACAATCATTGCATATTACACTATAGAGTAATAATCTTTAAAAAGATGATGAATTGCATCAGTCTCAGGACACAACCTTGGGTTAAGGATGATGCTTATCTCCCATCAGAGTGAAAAACAGCCATTAACTCCTTTTTTTTTCCCTTCCTGTTTTTAATTGTTTAGCCACAAGAACACCTCCCTCTTATTCCATGAGAACTCAGTACCTACAAGACTCTTTGAAGGGCCACACTAAAATCAAGATATATACCTTACTCCCATGCTTGCTGATGTTTTCAGATACAGAAGGAAAATCTGAGTCATTATTTCAACCTAGAAAACTGTACTAATGCTCCTCCAACAGGCAACATTTATCAATATGCCTTCTATTTGATTTTGCTATCATTTTTTCTAGCACATTTGCCAAATAAAGGAGATAGCATCTGTAGTTCCCTAGACGACTCCTGAAGCCTGTCCAAGAGGCTGGTAAAACACAAGCTACCTTCTATTTGTCTGATACAGAAGCTGACTAAAGTAACAAGCCCTGTGTTGTATCTCAAATTCTTTCAGGACTCTTTGGTTCATAAACATCTCATCCTGGGACTTCATCACTGCTCTGTTCATCAACGTGCCTCTATCTAGAAACAAGAAGTACAAATCCTTGGAAGGAAGGTAGAAATCAAGATACATTTTTGGACAGAAGTCTTTCATATTCCAAGATTTGCAGACATAGAATAGGAAGCACACCTACACTTTCAGAATGAGCAGCTGACTTGCCAGAAGAAGAGGGCAGAACACCTAATTCAACAAGAGGAATTCAGAGGTGTTAAATCAGACAGAAATTAATATAGGATTTCTTATTTCCTTCTAGGTCTCTCATTGTGAAAAAGATGCTTCCCCATTCCCTTCAGACGTATAAAACTCGGTTTTTAAAAGCTATAAATTCTACATATATAAATTTAGTATCAGTTTGGGACAAAATAGGAGTTTTAGCTAAACAACATATCTTCTGAAGAGAAACACAAAAGAAAATGTATCAATTCTAACTTCTTCCATAACATCTAAACTAAAGTTAACCAATTGATAATGGAAAGACTTTGGATGCAAGTGTAGCATGTATATATAGAACACACACATATATATAATTGTAGTATTCCCCAATCCTGCACATTTTTATTTTCTACTCTTTGAAGCTGTACTGTCTTTCTGAATAAATGATACCCACCAGATGGATGATTCTAGAGTATAAATGCATAAATAATAAACAGTTTGCCATTCTTCTGCAACTCAAGTTTTATTTTAAATCCCAATTTTGGACTCCATTAGTCTACAGTAAGGTTAACGCACCATTAGCACCGCACTTGGCCACATTTAATGCATTTTCAATCTGAAACAGTGAGCTTTCTTTGGATAGTAACAGAATCTGATGCATTCCAGAAAAGTACCTACCCTGGCTACAGCCACACAGCTTTGAAGTAGCTTTTCCAGTTTTACCACTTAGGAAAAGAAACATTAGCACCTGGAAAGGCTTTTTACTTTCGAGAAACTCTGAATGATGATTTGCCTTCTGACTGTTTTTACAATTGGATTTTTCTGCTGCTGGGAGGCCAGACTGGAAAGATTTACTATCATCACACTGTCCACAGGGGAACTTTAAATTTTTCAAGGGACAGTTGCACAGATAAGTACCAAACTCCTTCTGACAGCTTTTAAAGGAACAGTGACCTATTCATGGCACACAGCTCTCAACAACTCAACCACTTCAGTGTTTTTTGATATAACAATTATACCCACATCCTACAATAAGCAGATTGACAGGGATAACAAAAACTATCATCCTTTACTTCTTGAAACACTAACACTACCAAAATACCCTCTTGATTACAGGTTAATTGTGGTGTTGAAGGTGTTTGTTCCTCAGTACTATTCTTCTGTGATTTCTACTTGATGTAATGTAGCCATTGCTGTTCAGATTTTGATGGTACAATATAAAAATGTCTGTTTAACAAAGTCTCTCTGGCTTCAGGGGGAGTGGAGGGAGGTGTTGGGGTGTTTAATTTTTTTTTTGCCTATGCAATCTCCAACCCTGCTTACTTCCCTTAGCTGCACAAATCTGATAACATGCTCATATTTTACTGTGGTCTTCACATACACAAGCATGCTACCTACTGCCACACAAACTAGACACATAAAACCTTTCCTCCTGATGTGATGTTTTGTTTTGTTCTTAGTGATTTGTGTTATTATGCCCCTTTCCTTATGGAAGGATCATTAATTCCAGCAAACAAAAAAATGCAGCAATTTCTTCATTCAGTGCTCTACTGTTAACAGGAATCACATTCCACAACTTCCACAAGGCACCTAAAGACACACAACGACTAACAACAGGAACAGCAGGGTGGAGAGAAGCAGTAAAGTAAGAAGCACAATTATGGGCTTTGACCAAATTCACTGCATCAAATCCTCTCAACAGGAGTGCCAACAGTTCATCAAGATCCTCATGGAGGGAACCTGGCTTTTCTCTTTCATCTTAGAAAGATGCAGTGAACTACAAGTGTGTTCAGTTTTGTGTGTCTTACAGAGATGAAGATCTAAAGTTAATTCAGAAAAATCTGAATGCAAGATTCTATGGAAACAACAGATGCTATTCTACTTGAACTGTATGATGCTCAGCCTTCTATGGCATTTTCTCTCAGAAATTCGGTGACATTATCCTACAAGATGCTGTGTTGTTTTTTGATTCACAGGAACATTATTCCCTGTAAACCACAGAATGCACACTAGGAATTTTTTGGGTGTGCAGCAAGGCAACGTATGACAGAACAATGAAACACAAAGAAGAGAAACAAACTCTTCAGTGCTTTATGCTGTTTAAACTCTGGATGATCCCATTTCTCCATCTGTAGGTGGATGACAGAGGATTCCAATGATTCCTGGTCACCCTCATCACAAGTGAAAGAAGCTTAAATGATTTCAGATGCACAGTGTTTTGAGCTTCCTAAATAAGAGCCACTGGAGAAGAATATTGTCATACTCAAACTGAAATATTACTTGAGAAATGGAGAATGTGCCTCCAGGAAAGTCAAAGTAAAACGTCAGGGAGTGCACACACCAGAAACTGTATTCATTATGGAAATTTTACATGCTCTCACACAAAAAGAACGTGCAGGAAACATCCTTACCTCTTATTGCAGTGCAGATCATAAATAGGAGTTTTGAACTGTATGGATTTGACCATCTCTCCTGTTCGCAAAGAATAAAGGTCCACACAGCAGTAGGGTGGGCTCGTGCTAAAAGGAATAATTCAAAATAAAACTTTAATGTGAATGATTTTTTTTGTCATTTTTTAAGCTATTGCAGCCTACCTATATATTACTTAATACGCTAAATCTGAGCAGAATGCTGGAGAACAAAGGGTCAATATAAGCCTTCTACATTAAGGGAAGGTGTGATTCAAATTGAATTATAACACCCACAATGGTCAACAACCTTTACTGTGCAACTCGTTAGCGAGCATTTGGTTTCCTTCGTCCCAAATAAGACCTTGGAACAGAAGATATGACCAGCAAAATATAAACCATTTGATAGGCATGAAGTTTTAGACTACATTCTAGTTATTTAAAATGTATTCCACAGTCTAAGGCTTTCCTCCAGGGAGTATTTACTTCACTCTATGCACCAGCAGAATCATATGACTGGATCTGATAGAGACACATTACACAGAATTTACATTACATCTCTGATGGACTTTCGTTTGAACTATATGGAACTTTTCAACTGCTTTGTGTCACTTTTATCATTTTCATATAAATAAAGCTCTAAGGCCATTCCTTAATAAAAAGGCTTGCTTTCTTTTGAGAGGGAGAAAGTGCTGAGTGTTCCGATAGGGCCGAGGAAGGTAGTGGTGGAAACCATTTTACAAGCTGAGGAGAGGCTTTGATGTGGCAGTTCTTTTCCATAACACCTTTTTTCCCCTTCAAGAACACATTAAAATGTTGGCTACTTCTAGGTCAACGAGTATGAACGAGCACAAATTGCCAGCTGTACAAACATATACTAAGTATTGGTAGAAGAGGGTGTTTCCCTTTGCCTATATCTGTTTTATTTTACAGAGTTTAACACAATTCCTGACACAACACTTGCTTGTCTTTTGGATCTGCTCAAGCTGCTTGAGAATTTTCTGGAGAACTGGAGTACAAATGCCAGCCGTTTACCTCAAATGCCTCAAGATAATAAAGCAGCACATACAATAAGCACACAGCAGAGAAAGAATACATAATAAAGCACAGAAAGACAACTGTCAAAGAAATAATAGAAAAAACAAGTTTTGACATTTTGCCTACTGAAATTCTTCCCAAAATACACATTTTTCTAGGCACGTACCTAGGCTAATAACTAGAGGGTGCTATTTATTACTTTCAAGCACTTCAAAGGCCCCTCAAAAACACTTTTAAAACAGTGACACTCAAGTCTAGTTACTCTACATTAGAAGCTCATTGCTGCTAGAAAATGCAGAAAGCCACAGCAAGGTCTGTGTACAAACCTTGTTTGATTTAAGTGCATTTATTACCTACAGAAAATTATTATTTTGATAAAAGCGTACAGAGATTCTTCTTGCAAGACAGAAATCACAGAAGTCAATATAACTAAAATTGTATTAGAATAATTGATTGCAATTACTATTTCCATATAAGCCTTGTGTTGAACAGTTCCTTTTTGACTTGACAACTACATGGCTACAACTCAAAGAGTACCCATCTTCTAATTAGTGTTGCACCTACAAAATTATGGGTAATAATCCTGTCACTCAAATGAGTAATTATTATTTCATATTTTTATTTTGGTTGATCATGGTAAGACCATTCTAGCAATGTTTTCTTAAACCACATTGGCTAAAAAAACAATAAATTGGGTTCGTTATCAAGTTGTATGGACCATAACAGAAATACTCTGAAATTCTACCTAAGTCAAATTCAGAAGTTTTCTTTCCCAACATTATCTGTCTTTTAATTCCACGGTACACTGCAATCCATCATCAGAAAACAGTATGTATGTTTTTTCTTTGGGTTTTTTATGTTCTGAAATAAATACAAAGACAAGGTCAAATACATTTGAGGGTGCTCCTAGGACCTAAACAGCAGAAGCAAATAGCAACAGCAAGAAAAAGTCACACTTATAGTCCTGTCTTGTTTGATAATGGTTCTGTTCGTGGCACAGACACCCAGCATTACCACGAGTCTTCAGACAGCCAAACAATGCTCTCCTGGGAAAGTCACATTTTTTGGCTAAGTGCTTTATCCACCAGCTATGACACAAAAGGGTGTAAGCACAAGCATCTGATCTGCTCCTTCTTTGGCAATCTCCTTCAAAAGTGGAAAGGCCAAAGAAAAAACCTCAACTTTCAATCACTAGAGAAGACTTCTTTATTTAGCATTTCTATTTGTTTTAGTGTCTCTCACTGCCACATTCTTTATCAGGCTTCACTAATGACTGGGACATGACTTCAACTTGTGGAATAATGGAGAAAAAGAAATCATGGATTTTAACTTCACCATTCAACAGAGCCCCATACAGCAAGGATTCTACAACACTGCAAAATTTCAGTTCTTGTCCAAAGGTATTATTTCTCAGCTATCCTAAAAGTATGAGCCTTTTGAATGGTCTTTCTTTACCCTCTTTAATATCTCTTCAGCTAGCAGCAGGATCAGTTCTTCTAGAACAAGAGAATGAGGATTACAGACACAGATCTAAGGATTCACTTCTGCCATAGCACTTAAAGAATAGTAAGAGTACCTTAATTAGCCTACACCATGCAGAGGCAGTAGCAAGAGCTATATCCTTCCCTCCTCCATTTCAGTGATATCAAAAGCTCAGGCCCAGTGGTTCTGTGTATTTTCTTTACCCAGCCTCTGATATGCAATGCATTCTATACTGACTCATTTTAGTGTACTAAATCAACAGAAAAATAGCACTTTGTCCATTCTTTCTTCTCTAGAGGGAATTCTCCTGGAGGTTAGTTCATCAAAAGGGCTCAGTGAAAGGTCTAACAAGGATGGAAGGAAAAATGGAAGTCAAAGCACAGGAACTGAGCAACAGAAGACGTGCAATAGGGCTGCAAAAGCTACAGCTAGGTTGTCACCGCAGAGCTGCAGCACTACACAGCTTCTTCTGACACTTCAGGACCTCCACGGTGGTAACTGTGCCTGGTGCCCTATGCTAACAAACTGCCATCGTTCTGGAGAGACTGAAGCTCTGAGGCTTCTGGCCAAGAAGCTTTGCTTCTGAGAAACTGAAGGTTCACACAAGTCTTGGTGATGAGGAGGGCCCTGATCGTATTTGAGGGGACCAGTGAGGGTTTGTAAAAAGGAGACGTGCAAACACTGATTTTTGTGGTCTGGTAATAACATTAAGTCTATCACAAATAAAATACTTGCAAATTTACTCCCACAGATTAGTGACAAACTTTCATGATGTATCATGATTGTTAGAATAGCTGCTTAATGCAGAGCTATCAACAATTTCTTTAAAGGTAATGGACACAAATTCACCAACAACTTCAAAGCGTTGGTATTAATGAAGTTACACAGGCTCTTGTATCTTCTTCCATTTGACTGTTGTAGTGCAGGGACAGAAGAAAAGTAACAGATGCCTTGTATAGCTGGCACTTGACTACATCTGTGCTTCTGCATCACGATGTAACTACCACCTCTTCACAGCTTTGCTAGCTATGAGTCACACAGTTCATAAAAGCTCTGTGTAAAATGTTTGCATACAGAGACAAATATACTGTATAAAACACACACACTTTTCATATGAAAAAAAGGAGAAGACTGATGAAACCAACATGAGGCCAAATTTTTCTGTGCCTAGAAAGATTTTACTGTTTGCTCACAAGGGTTTACTTGCCTCCCTGCTGCCTCTCCCCACCCTGCCACGGGATGAACAACATCCTGCTCAAAGAGAGAATGGACATCAACTACAGAGTGGTCTCATGAGTCTGGGGAGAAGCTGACCACCACACCTTCACACAGCATTCTTTACAGGAGGCGTTGTGCAGTTAATTGTGGCATTTAAAGAAATCATCTCAGCATAGAAGCTGTCTGGCCAACAAAAGCTAGGTCTATAACCTTTAGAAAGACTGAGGGAAACATGGCCATCTACCCACCTTTTTTTTGCTCTACGTGTATACAACATAAGCCTGATGAGATGCACAATGACGTCACTTGGGAACCAGGACAGGAGTTATGGCATCATAACACATTTTAGATAGCAATAAAACTGCAAAGCTAACAGTTACAATCTTCATTAGGGAAAAGTGTACAGTTACAGATGACACAGTTACAGTAAAAATATTTTCTATCACCTGTACTCCTTTATACAAGCTCTGCAAATTTCTTTTGGAAAACAGTTTATTAATTACCATTAACAGCTGAAGAGTTAATGTATTAAAATGACAAAATAAGTGAAAACTTTAGGAAAAGGTTAAATTGTATCAAACTATCACTGAGATAACATGAAGAAATTACACAGACTGATCTAACAAATACAGAAACAAACCCTACCACTTCTCAAGAACCTGACATTAGAGCACGTGATGGCAGCAGGGACACAGCTTATTTCCAGCTGCTGGGCAGAAACTGATCCTTGCCTAGGGTGGCTCTGTGCCTGGTGGAACTGCACTGCAGTGAGCTCCATCCTTCTCCCCTTACGCGAGGAGTTACGTTACAGCTCCCTTGGCCTGTGCCCTTACAAGGCAGTTTCCTTCTGCATTTACCCAGGACAAATATCACACTTATTAGCAGCAGGTTTCCCAGAGTAACAGTCCCCTTCTTGCTCTTTTATTATTTCCACATTAAAAAAAAAAAAGATTACTTCTTCCACCATGCAGTCTATTCTGAAGTACAATTTATTTTTCAAAAACCTGACCTTCCACTCTTCCTCAAAAATATAAACCTTAGCACATAAGTTAATGCACTGTGTGTTCCCAGACTTCTCGTTCTACCCTGCCCACACCAGTACCACTCTTCATTATTCTGGGGTATTCCTCTGGTGATGGTTTGTTTGTGTGCAATTTACAACAACCATTTTTTTCAACAACATAAAAAACAGCTTTAATTTTCACGACTTCTGGTGCCTTCAAGGAGAGGTAAAAATAATACTAAAACATTCTGAGATCAAACTCAAAAATGTTACAGTACAATAATCTCTTACTAGGTCCAGCTTCAACAACTTGTGGATTAAAAAAAAATTAGATGTTTTTATAAATATTAAGCTGTCAGGTGCCTTAAAT